GGTGCTGGGGATTGAACCACGGTCCCTGTGCTTTGCTGAGCTTAGCTTGTTCTAAGTAGGTGCTTTAGACCACTGAGCCATCTCCCCGGCCCCGTAGAACATTTTTTCATATGCTTATGGACCACTTATACTTCTTCGGAGAAGTGTCTATTTAGTTCATTTACATATTTATTGATTGGTGTGATAGTTAACTGATTGTATCAACTTGAGTAAGAAATGGTTAAATTGAATCAGCATAATTCTGGATGTGGTTAAAGGGATATGCTGAGGACAGAAGACCCATCATTGGTTCTGATGGCACCAACCAATAAGCTTAAATGGAATAAAAGGGAAATGAAAGAAGGCTTGCTTCTGTTTCTTTGGAGTAGCTCCAGTCTTCCTCTTGACCTTCAATGTTGTCTCCTGGCTTCCAGTACAGACCCTTCAGCCTCTTGATATGAACACACATGGGACACTTGAGTGAGCTCCAGGCCTTCAGCCTTTGGCTGGATTATTCAGGTATCCAGAAAGCTGACAGCTCTTTTGCATTCTTCTGCACATGACTGTGGGCAGCTATTGCAAGCCTACCTTATAAATCTTTTTTTTTTTTTTTTAATGTATTTGGCTATTACAGGGTCTCACTATGCAGCTCAGACTCATAGTGATCCTCCTGTTTTCAGCCTCCCCAGCACTGGGATTACAGGTGTATTATACTATGCCCAGACTCTGTGGCTGGCTCAGCCTGCCCTGGGAGCGGGGCTGACCCAGCATGTAGTGCCAGGGATCAAATTGCTGTCCCTGTGCTTCCTAAGCAGGCACTTTAGTCCACTGAGCTATCCTGCCAGCCCCTATAAATCTTTATATGTTTATATATCTTGCATTAAATTTATTTCTCTAGTGCTTACTTTGGCAGCACATACACTAAGATCTGTTTCCCTAGTGAGCACTGAATGATAAAATTAGGCTTTTTTTTTTCTGTTAAATTCTTTGAGTTCTTTACATACTCTAGATACTAAATCTCTTGCTGGAAGAGTAGCCACTAAAGATTTTTCTCTCATTCTGTAGGCTATCTCTTCATTCTGTTGGCTGTTTCTCTTGTGCAGAAACTTTTTGGTTTGATGTAGTCCCACTTGTCAACTGCAATATTATTTCCAGAAACACTTGAGCCTTATTCAGGAAATCTTTGCCTGCACCTATGACTTCAAGTGTTTTTCACATGCTTTTTTCTAGCGGTTTTAAAGTTTCAAGTGTTACATCTAAGCTTTTTATTGTTTTTTTTTGTTTGTTTGTTTGTTTGTTTTACGGAACCAGGGATTGAACTCAGGCCCTTGCGCTTACCAGGGAAGCACTTCTTCCACTGAGCCATCTCCCCAGCTCCTTTGCTGATGCTTTCCTAGTTCATTATTAGTATACAGAAAGATTATGAATTTTGTTGTAATGTTAGTTTTATATTCTTTTGGGAAAGTCAAATCACCTATCTGGCCTCAACTATCTTTTTGTTTGTTTTTTGAGACAGGGTTTCATTATGTAGTTCATGCTGGCCTCCAACTCATGGCAATTCTCCTGCCTCAGCCTCCTGAGTGCTAAGATTATATGTATCCCATCATGCCTGGCTTGCCCTATCTTATTTATAAAATGAAGGGCTTGAAGGGTCTCCATAAGGTTCCTTCTAATCCTAAATTTTTAAAAAAATGATTTTTTTTCATATGCCTGTATTATATGGGGATATAAGACAGAAATCACATTCCAGGCACAAAAGTTCTCAACTCAAAAGAGACACAACTACTGGGTGTGGGGGTGCACATCTATAATCCCAGCACTTGGGAAGCTGAAACAAGAAAATAGCACTTGAAAAGCTGAAACAGGCAGATTACCTAAGCTACATAGTGAGTTTAAGAGCAGCCCAAACTACATAAGTGAGACCCTGTCTGTCTCAAAAAACAAAACAAAACAAAAAAAACAACCAAAACTACAGTAAGGCTGGCTCAGTAGTAGAGTGCTTACCTAGAATCTGATCTCCAGTATCACAAAGAAGAGAAGAAAGATGACGAGGAAGAAGCAAAAGCAGAATTATAATAAATTAATAGCAACAAAATTATAGCTATATTCTGCCTGTTTAGTTCTATATAAGAAATAT